TCTTTCAAGCAACACGGGGTGGGTTTCTGGGGTGCTCTTGAGGCCCTCGTGGGGTCTGTGGAGGCTCTCTCGGGACGTCTTGGGTCTTGGGCTGTCGTGGAGCGTCCCAGGGTCGTTTTCGGACCTGCCTAAGAGCCACTGGGGTCGGCTTGGGAGCCATTGGGGCCTGCTTGGGGCGGTGACTTGGGCCCCGTAGGCAATCGAAATGACGGTAACGCGAAAATGTGTCAAACACATTTTGGAACATCAGAACATGTTGCCACCCAGGGCGCTCTCGGGAAACCTCTGGGACCCTTCTGGGGTGTTGTGGAGGCTCTTGGGGCGTTTCGGGATGTCTTGAAGCGTTCGGAGGTCGTCTCTGGGACGCTCTTGAAGCCCCCGTGGGGTCTGTGGAAGCTCTCTCGGACGTCTTGGGCTTTTTTGGAGCGGTCTGGGGTCGTTGTCGGACCCGCCTGCGAGCCAATGGGGCCAGCTTGGGAGCCATGGGGGCCGACTTGAGGCGATCCCTGGGGCCCCGTCGGCTCTGTTGGAGAGTGCGGGAGCCGACCTGGCAGACACGCGAAAACGTGTCAAACATAGATGGCGAATTGGTGGATGGTTTTTGCTGAGGAGATCGACCGGGAACCTGGGAGCCCGGGAACCCAGAACCCACCGAAATCGGCCCGGAACCAATCACCGGGAACCGGGGAACCCGGAATTGGGAACCGGGGAGTCCAGTTTGCTACCAAAGTCGTCGGGAAACTTTCGCCAAATCTTTCAAGTTCCGCTAGGACCCCTTCAGTGCAAGCACTGATTGGGGAAACTTTGCCACCCAGGGCGCTCTGCCTCTGGGACTCGAGGGTCTGTGGAGGCTCCCTTGGGGCGTCCTGGTCTGTCTTGGAGCGTTCGGGAGTCGTCTTCGGGCCCGCTTGAGAGCCATTGGGGACCGGCTTGGTGCGATCTCGGAGGCCCCGTCGGCCGTCTTGGAGCGCGAGGGAGCCGAAATGGTGGACATGCGAAGATGTGTCAGAAGCCCAGGGGGAAACCCGTAGAATTGTGCCGCCGAGGGCGCTCTCGGGAAGCCTCTGGGATTCGTCCGGGGAGCTGTGGAGGCTCTCTTGGGTGTCTTGGGCTGCCTGGGAGCGTGCTGGGCTCGTCTCCGGGGCGCTCTTGGAGCTCCCGTGGAGCTCCCGTGGAAGCTGCCCCGGGGCGTCCTGGGGGGCTTCTTTGGAGCGGTCCGGGGTCGTTTTCGGACTCGCTTACGAGCCAACGGGGCTGGGAGCCATTGGGGTCGGCTTGGGACGACCTCTGGGGCCCCGTAAACCGTCTTGGAGCGTGAGGGAGCCGAAATGACGGAAACGCCCCAAATGCATCAAACATTCCAGGGAAGTCGTATATTTTTTTCACCCAGGGCGCTCTTGGGGAGCCTCTGGGACCCTTCTCGGGTCGTCTTGTGAGTCTCGTCGGAGTCTTGGGACCCCGATGGGGCTGCATTGGGGCACCGCGGTGCTTTCTTAGACGTCTTGGCGACACCAGAAGCCGTCTTAGAAACCCTGACAACCGTCCTGGAGATCCCGGGGGCCGTCTTGGGTTCCAAAGAGCGCCAGAGGAGTTCAGGGCTGGACCACCCGGGGGCACCAGGGGGGCGTCAGATTTCGTGTTTGGAGTCCCTGGAGGGGGATTGAGAGGGGGGGAGCTGTGTCGCACGCCTGAAGACCCACAAGGGGTGTCGGCGGACTTCCGTGCAGCTCCTTGGCGACCTCCGGGCTGCGCACATGCTCTTGGCCATGATTTGTGACCCCCCCTCTTGGACGCCCCCTTCTTGGACGCCCCCGGAGTCGGCACGATCGAAATGGGTACAGTCGGGGCTCTGAACAAGGAACCCTTTTCGTTGGGGAGGGGCTCCGCGTTCCTTAAGTGTTTCACAGCTTGCCTCAGGCTTTCCTTATGTTTTCGACAGGAAATCGAAGGTTAACTTATGGAAAAAAGGGGCCTCGTTCCTTATCTAGGGTTCCTTAGGTCAACGCCCCGACTGCAGTTACGGAAAGACTGAGCACGAAGGCCCACGCAGTTCCTTGCTCATTTTGCGCAGGCCTCGCTGTCGGTGCCGCCGCGGGCCTCGTCCACACGAGACAGAAGGCCGCCTGCCCGACAGCGGCCCGCTGTCGGTTTTGGGCCCAAAACCTGTGGTTCGGCATCGTGCCAGTCTTACCGTACCCCGCTCGTGCGCCCCAAGAGATGCCGATACTCGGGGGCGGAAAAGAGGGGGGTGATGGCTAGGGAGGGTGGATATCATGGCGAGGGTCATGATATTTCCCCAGATTTCATGGCGCCTCTTCTTATTTCATTACGTCCCTGGCCCCCCCGCTGGGCCGCGCACATGCCGCCGGTCATGATTTGCACCCCCCCCTCTTGGACACCCCCCTCTTGGCCGCTCCCGAGATACCGCTGCTCGTCCTGGGGAGCCCTCGTCGTCACGGCTGGATTGTACCAGCCTGAAGCATACCTCCATCCCTATGTTTGGCATTACCTTGCCTCGGTGCCGACCTCAAGAATTTCCGCAGCTTCTGAGGGCGCATCCTCAAGATTGTCATCGCCTCGGGATTCCCGATCTTAGGGTTAGGGATAAGATCGAGGCTGGTCCCCCCCACGTGGGAGGCTGGTTAGAGCTAGACTCTCCGTGAGGCTGCGGCGAGAGCGCTCCTCGCGTGGTCCCCGGGAGCCGCAGGCCGTCGAGGCTGCTCGCAGGTTCTGGCTGGGCCTCCGGCCGGCAGTGCCCTTGCTGCTTTACTCCCCGCAGGTAGTGGCGAAGCGCGGAGCGTCCTGGTGTGCCTGCAGTCGCCATGTGCCAGCCACGCGCAGAGGGGGGCAGGGGGAGGGGGAAGGCTTCTGAGAAGGCGCGGGCCTTCTATGTAGATACAGGGCCGGCGCTTTCTAAGAAGCAGCCTTCTTCTAAGCAGCCTTCCCCCCTCTCCCTACCCCTTTGTACGCAACGCTATCGGTCTGCCTGCAGTCGCCATGGGGGAAACTCGTCCTGAGGGAGACAGGGCCCGAGGTTTCTTTACGTATTCGGGCTCTCGGGGCCCTCAAAACCAGAGCAGTTCTTCTTCATGTTGAGCAGGAATCATTGTCGATGTCGTTGCGGACGTTGCCCATTTGAGGCACAAAGTTACCTGCTCAACAGCGGTCGCTGTGGGTCTTGGACAGCGGTTGATGCTGGGCATCTTGCCCGGATCTTCCGTGCCCGCGTCGGGCGTTGTGCAGGCCATCGTGAGCCATTTCGAACTACAGTCACGGCGATGAAATTAGAACCACTTTGGGCTTATGAGGGGCTCTGGTTTTCGGTTCGTTCCGGAGATCTGGGTCGAGGAGCCTATTAATGGCCGAGGCTCGCCGTGGCCAGACAAGCCCCTTCGTTTTATTGTTCAGCGTTCCGTACGGTATCTTGAGCCATCGTGTAGGCCATCGTGTAGGCCATCGTGTAGGCCATGTCGGGGTACCCCAGTGCTGGGGGCAAACGATAAAGACATAGTTTCGCCTGCCCCGTGGCCTCCATAATAGCGAGCTGAGCAGCTCGGCCCACGGATGGCGGACAATTCGGGCTGGCCCCCCAGGACCGCACCGGAGGCCAGGGGGGGCCCGAGGGCTGAGAGTTCGAAGCGCGGAAGGGGGCGGCTCGGCCTGGTCGAGGGCACCCCCGGGGTGACCCCAGGCCCTCCCAGGGCTTGGCGCTCCCACCTCCGCTGCAGCCCCACTCCTGCTGGGACGCGGTGAGGCAAGCGCGGTGTGGCGGGCGGGGGGAGGCGCGGCGCTCCCGCCTCCACTGCAGCCCTGCTCCCAGGACGCGGCGGGGCAAACATTTGGGGGGGGGGGGGGCGCGGCGCGCTCCCGTGCGATGCCCCCCCCTGCTCTTGCCAGGCTGCGGCAAGCAGAGGGGAGGGGGCGGGGGGATCCAAAAACGGCTTCGGCCCCCAGAATTCCCCAGACAGCGCCTGCGGCTGTTACCTGGGCTCAGAAGGAATCGGTCTCGTCTGCCGCCCCAGCCAGCTTGTCGTGGTCGTGGTCGTCGTCCTCGTCGCCTCGCCGTCGACGTCGCCACCCATCGCAGTCGTCGTCGTCGTTGTCGTCGTCGTCGTCGTCGTCGTCGTCGTCGTCGCCGTCGCCGTCGCCGTCGCCGTCGCCGTCGCCGTCGCCGTCGCCGTCGCCGTCGCCGT